CCCATTGACCCCAGGATGTCGAGCTGTTCAAGGTCGTGGCAGTGAGCTGCGAACGCCTGCAGATCCCTGTCGTTGATGGTCCTGCAGTGACGAGGAGAGAGAGACAGAAGCGACCGAGTTACTGTCTTAGTCCCAGTGTTGAGTGCGGGCAGGTGCATGCGTGCACAGGCACACATACACACACGCACACACACACACACACCTGTGCTCACGCACGGATTTACACTAATACAGACCTATACACCTAAGCATTTGGGCACGCAGAATTGACAAAGATGCACTCGCACACACATTCATCCCCAACGCGTAATGTTTACGTTCTAGTGTTTTAATTCCCTGAATGTGCGTGGCGTGGACGCACCCGTAGCTGTATGTACTATAGATGAGGTAGTCATCGCTCAAACTAACAATTTTATCGCGACACGTATTAGAGTATTAGACCGCGATCAGAAACCCTAAATGTTCGCTAGAGTTTTGTTCGTCATTCGCATTGTGTTTAACGCGGATAAGTATGCGCGCACGATGTTTTTATGCTGGCGCTGTCCCATGTGCTAGTCTTATTATTGGTCCACCTGCTACTGATACGAGCGTTTTTTCGTTTCAACGAATTCGTGTCTACTACTTGTGTCTCTGTGACCTTTGTTGCGCTATGTGGCATGTGCTTCCCTAAATATGTACAATCTATGTGGAAGAGAAGTTGGTCTTGTTTGATTTTCGGCACGGAGTTTGGATACAATGGAGGGCAAACAACTTCAAAATTTATTACAAAGTTCGTTCTTATTCGGTGACAATCTTCTAGTTGCACGTAACATAAGTGCTAATCCAGTGGTAGGCGTGGTGCGTGTGACGTTTGTTACATGACCATGTTGCGTCTGTCCGCTTTGTAATTCAATGTCGATTTCCAGCATCCATGTATATAATACACGGGATATGAGAAACAGTGTGTTTGTGTGTATACGTGTGTGCGTGCGTGCGTGTGTTCGTACCTGCGTGTTGTGAATGGATGTTAGTTATTTGTGAACCTTGTCTGTAATTAGTATTCCTTTAATCGTTACGTACCTTCCTCATCTGATTCCGATTCGATGCAAGTTTTCGGTTGCTGTTTCGTGGTAAACTCCAGTAATCGCCCTAACTATTATGAAAATTACCGCAGTGACTTTGCTGCCCTGCATTCACTTTGGGTCAAAGTTTCCTAATGTCGAATTCCTAACATATTTTTTTGGTATTATCTTTGAGGCATCTATAAACTTTGCGTTTCTCATTCGTACTTGTTTACGGGATAGTATGTTGTCATAGTAGCGCAACGTGCGTTGTAGAAATGTATAGTTGGACTAATACCCAGTGTATTATTGCAGCTTAAAATCAGGACCATTAGCTGCCACTAAATACAGTAAGCCGGTGTGTCTATATATATACACACCATTCATTTACATATATATTAAGAGTACATAATATAAATCTCTATTATGTACTCTTGATATATATGGTATTGCTTTTTATGCAATAAGCATGTTCAACTAAGTATATTCAGTAGCAAAAATTTATTGGCCCTTTTTCCACTTCGATATTTCCGCCCAGTTCCAACTCTAAACTGTATACGTAAGTGTAGCTTGGAGTTATATACACCAGGATTTTAATGTAGGTCATGATCAGTTCTCTATAAAAAAAGAAAGAACTCAAAGTGAATAGTGTTTGCAGAAACACACGTTCATGTCGTATTAACTGATCACGTCGTCTGCTATTTGCAGCTTTAAACTGAGAGTTCATATATATTATTAACGTATTGCTTTCGGAGCTAGCGTTCGTTTAGTAGAACGATTCTTAATCTGTCGTACGAAGTTTTATGAGCAGTTTGTGTTACGGTGCCGAGAGAGCACGAAGATGGTTTTGTTGCAGAAATTATTTTCGCAAAATTGTATGGCATTGGCCATTTTCCAGCACGGTATTTAGCCTTGTGCTGGCTGGCAGCATATGAGAAGTGTATGTACCACAAGCAAAGTCTTTGATAACGACTTGGCTCAGCTCATTAAGAGGTGTAGAGAGGGCGTGATTATTGCCATTTTGCCGCTCGACTGTATGTAAGAAGTCCGTATATGATTTTGTGTATTATGTTTAGTTAGCCAGTCGTCTCTATATATCTGTCAGCTCAGAGTAATACTGTATGAGTATATGATACAAAGTACTAATAAAGATTTTACGTGTCGTATCGGTTGCATCGCAGTCTCTGCGTTCTGTTAACTTGTTCTCTTTGTTTTGAAAGGTTTTCGAAGACTGAAAACGTGACAGAAATAGAGGGTTGAAGAGAGAAGGGAAGACTGAAATCAGAGATGCGAGAAAACCAGAAAATATAGCGGAAGGAAAGCGGGAAGAAAAATGAGGCAAAGGAGAGGAGCAGAAAATTGAAATGAAGATTTCACAGAATCTCGGCCGAAGACCCTTCTATTGGGGAGAAAGCGAGAGCGAGCGCGCGAGAGAGCGAGAGAGAGAGAGAGAAAAAACGAGGTGGTAGATATGCCAGAGGAAGGAAGAAAGAAGAGAAGGGGAGGATATGGAGAGAGAGCAAAGTTTAGAAATCGAAGGTTTGGCCGTGAACTCCCAGCGTGCTGCTTCCAGTTTTGCGATTCGCGTGGGTGGTTTTTTTCTCAGAGGTAGGTATGTTGCTTGTTGCCCCGTTTTTTTCCCGCTTTCCTCCCTCTCCCCTTCTTTCCTCGACCAGGGAACCACCACCCCCGTTTCTGACAGATGGTAACGTGGGGAAGCTAAAGCGATGAAAGCAAACATGACGCAGTCGAAATGTCAACTATTCCCCTGAACCCGGCTGCTGCGCTCTCTGCGATAGTTTCAAACGTAACGTTAACAAGCAGTCGCGACTAATAATAACAAGTGAAACGGCATCAGTAACTTATAACCTGAAGGTTTTTTTAACGGGTGGATATTTTTTACGTAGAACCGTCTCGCGTCTAAAATACTGCGCAAATCATGCTGAAATTTTCCGACGTTCCAACGCTCCGTTCGCTGTCGATAGCATCCTCCTGAACTCCTCGGCGATCCCTCCCGCAGTGCGCCAGTTTACGCCTCGATCTCTCGCCAGCATCATGCTCCGCCATGCAGTGATCCTCCGCCGTCGTTCGCATGCTATGTTCATCCGTGTTTGTGTGACACCCCGCGGCACGATGCACGAACCCTTTTGATGCGTGCGAAATTCGTTCCCGACCATTTTTCTTCGACGATCGCGACGCGACTTTTGCGCTCCTCTCTCGCGAGCGCGATATACGTCGTTCGCGCGGATTGTGGTTTTCTGTCGTGAGAGCGTGATGTTATACGACGTAATGCAGCTATGATTTAATATAATATAAATAATAAGTATAATATATATAATATAAAGCGGTGGAGAACGGAGGAGCGGGGGGCGACGGCGGTGGCGCCTCCTGCGAGACGATCGAGTGATCGACCGGCAATGGTGGCGCCATCTTCAGGCTAAAAGAGACGTCATGTGTGAGACAATTGAGCGATCATCTCTCGTGATTCGCGACAGCGTTAGTGGCGACTACTGGAGAATGATCGAGTGTTCTTTCTCCCCGCGCGAGGCGGTCGATCGATACCTCGAGTCGTGGATCTGACGTGGCAATTCTGCGTGGCTCGAGGTGCGCGGCCGTCGCACGATCTCGCGTTTCCGCGGCAACGAGGCTTCTTGGATCTCAGATGCTGCGCGCCCCACGTTGTCGTGGGACAATTGATCAGTGGTGTCGCGGCGTTTCCGCGGCGACGAGGCTTCCCACGAGACGGGAACGATATCGGATGCTGCGCGTCGTCTCCGTTGTCGTGGGAGAGCGGTCGCGTCACTGTCGCAGTCTGGTCGTCGGACGGACGTTACAGGAATGCGCGACGCAATGCGCGGACAGGCCTCGGATGTAATTTATTTTTTCTCTCGTCGTTTATTTAACGCGCTCGCTCGTTCTTCGCTCGTGAAGTAAGAACGAAGCTTTTTAGCAATAGCTGGCCGATTCCTCTTGTATTATATTGTGTAAATCGTGTTTCGTTGTAAATTTCTTAATAAAAGTTGTGGAGATTTAAGAAAGAAGGGTCATTGTCGTGTATGACTGCTTTCGTTCATTAATTATGTGTATTCGTCGATGTTAAGTGTCGCGGATGTATGCTTTTTGTTTCTTCCTTGTGTATGAATTTTGTGTGAGATTGACGGGGTCACACTTGGCCGCACACGCACACAGACACGGCTGTCACGATCGTAATCCCCTAGATAGAAAACTGCGAGACTGATAACAACATAACGTGTCATAGCAGCACGAGTAGCGAAGCGGCGCGATCGCACGCTGCATTGTTCGACAAGCGAACGTCGCCCACGATCGTAATTGGACGTAACGGGGGCGAAATTCACCCAGCCGACGTAAAGTGCTCTACTTTTGTTAAGGGTTAAGTTACTCTACTACCCCTACTTTCGTGGGGTTGCGACCTCAGGTCAAGGTTGCGGGGTTGTGACCAGAGGTCAAGGTCGTAGGTTCGTGACGTGAGATCAAGGTCACAGGGTTGCGACCTGAAATCAAGGTCGCAGGGTTGCGGCCTGGGGTCAAGGTCGGCGTAACGAGCGCGTGCTTTTCTGCGCAGTCGCTCCTACTCGAGATCGAATTCGCCGCACTACGGCCGCAGCAACAGGGACTACCGCAGCCACAGTCGGTCCCCACTGTCCAGCCGGCGACGACACGAAGGCAACAGGGTCAGTGCGAGAGATTCGCGCGCATTTCTCATTCAAAATATGTGTATATACGCGCGGCCGCGAACTAACGAACTGCGCAGCGGTTGGTCAGTTCCCGGTGTATATATGCATGGATTTTGAGTATAGAATAGTATCTGCGAACTGCGTAACTTGCCTTCTTGTTGCAAACATACCCCCCACACCCACCCCCACGTCGTCTAGACGATTCCCTGTAGTTGTGCGCGCGCCGTCACGATTCGCCGATCCCGTAAATGTTATTATTAGCCGGTTCGATTTGCTTGTTTTAGCTGATGATAGAAGACTGCTGAACTCCTCCCCTCCCCTTCGTACAGCCATCGAGCAAAACCGCTCGTGGAAATTAGCGATAGCAAAATGGGTCAAAAGCATCCTTCTTAGGATAAGGCCTAAAAAAATAAATGATGTGTTTCCGAGAACGGTCTTGAAAAAATTAGGTAGGGTAGGTAGGGTTTTTTTTTTAATAAAAAAATTCGAAAATGTCAAGTGTTCAGAGGTGA